TTTCTATTTTACTATATAAAACCAGTATTTATGGTTAAAAAAAAATTGCATAGTATATTTTAAATATTTATTAAAAAAACAGATGTATGACTTAATTTCCTCTTATTTCTAAACGTCCAATTTCAATATTACCCAATTAAAATACCTTATCATTTCCACTTGGGCTTATAAATATTTACTTATCATTTCCAATTGGCCTAATATTTGCTTATCATTTCAAATAGCTTACTTTCTACAAACGGTAGAAGAAGAGTAGAAAACAGAGGTGGTCGTCTTCAACCTCCAGTCGGATCGAAATCGACCCAGTCAGAACTCACCTCAAATTCAACCATCCAAAATGCAAATCTTAAGTTTAAAAAACACATAAATCTAGAAATTTATTTTATAGGGAAATCTAAATTTATTTAAAAAAAATCAGCCTGTAAAGACAGAGTTTTGCAAATTGCTCGTAAAAATACCAATGCAGAGGTAATAGGTTGCTCTGATACCAAGTACAAGAATGCAATTGATCTAAAATAATTAGCAGGAATAACTTGGATCGAGCCCCATGGATTGAGTCGTATCTTTGGACATTGATGTTGTTACATGAGCTTTTGTATTTTCCAGGTCAGGCGCTTCTAAACTTTCCAACACTCGAAATTCGATGGTGTATATCCTGTATTTTCTGTAGTGTTTGTTGTATTTGAGCTTAGGGACCGAATCCGTCTATATATAAGCTCCCATCAAGCTATGGTTTAAGTTACCAAATTTTTAATCAGTCGTGGAACTAAAACTCCATGAATACTAAATTAATTATTGAAATTGAAAGAATGAATTTTGGATCATCAATCGCCCATTGAAGAAATGGAAAGGAAGAAAACTGTTGTACCTTCTTTATTATTATTTTTATAGATTACTAAACATTATCGTTTAATGCATAAAGATTAACTCAGTGAGAAAATAATTTTAATAGCAAATTCTTAACTAACATGTTATGATTATGCACAAAAAAGTCTCGTAATCATTATAAAGTTTCACGTATTAACACAATTAACTCATGCAAAATAAATAAGAGCCAATAATTAACTTTGCACAATTTAATTCATCATAAACTTGCTTATATTATTGTAAACATAAATAATTAATATATGCAAAAACTTAAGCAAATAAAATAAATGCCCAAATATTAAATTATGCATGACTAGCCTAAATACATATACATGTGTCTAATAAATAATTGGCCCAATATACAATATATGTTATTTCTACAAAAAATTTTGTATCCGTATTATTCCAAAAAGGATTTCATAATTTATTATGTTACATTATTTAAAACAAAAATACTAGATGACGTATGAAATATGTTTACATATACTTCCTTCTAAAAATAGACCATACATCACATTCTGTAACGACCCTTTTTGAATTCAACCTATTTCATGTTGTCCATTAATGCCATTTTGTAAATTGAATAAGCAATTCAATAAATGATGATGACCAAAAAGGTAAAATCAATAATTGTTAGTTTGTTGAATAATCACCATGTGATTTCATACTAATGTTATAGGCTTCAACATCATTGTGTAAGATGATCAAATGGCAAATATTTTTTTTAAACACATTTCAGATTGCATATACCCATACACTATTATGAAATAAATTGAATTTCCGGAGAATATCAAGGCACAATTATATTGAAGTAAGAACACAAATTTTCGTACATAATTTCATAATGGCTTCATTATGATTTTCACATTATGAATTTTTTTTTTGGACATGTCGCGCGCGCGCGCGCTCACACACACACACACACACATATATATTTTGTTAAAAGATGCAGGATTTACACATTCTCATTAAATTTTGCATGTAAATATATACAAATTACATAGACCTGCGATAAAGTCCTAATCAATAAAAAATGAGAGTCAAATGTTGGATATGGTGTGTATTCACGATAGATCTATAGAAGAACGAATTAGTGATTAGGTTTAGGAAATTTCTTGGTGGATGATTTAAGGGAGAGAAGATCGGTGCATATTTTGGTTTAAAATATGAAAGGTCACGATTTTAGGGATTTTGTGATTAATTTAACATTTAAGGGCATGTTTGTTGGAACGTAATTTAAATGCGCGTTTTTTGGAGTAAAATTAGCTAAGTAATGAATGACATATATGATTTGGTTAATTTTTCACATTTCTATTTTACTATATAAAACCAGTATTTATGGTTAAAAAAAAATTGCATAGTATATTTTAAATATTTATTAAAAAAACAGATGTATGACTTAATTTCCTCTTATTTCTAAACGTCCAATTTCAATATTACCCAATTAAAATACCTTATCATTTCCACTTGGGCTTATAAATATTTACTTATCATTTCCAATTGGCCTAATATTTGCTTATCATTTCAAATAGCTTACTTTCTACAAACGGTAGAAGAAGAGTAGAAAACAGAGGTGGTCGTCTTCAACCTCCAGTCGGATCGAAATCGACCCAGTCAGAACTCACCTCAAATTCAACCATCCAAAATGCAAATCTTAAGTTTAAAAAACACATAAATCTAGAAATTTATTTTATAGGGAAATCTAAATTTATTTAAAAAAAATCAGCCTGTAAAGACAGAGTTTTGCAAATTGCTCGTAAAAATACCAATGCAGAGGTAATAGGTTGCTCTGATACCAAGTACAAGAATGCAATTGATCTAAAATAATTAGCAGGAATAACTTGGATCGAGCCCCATGGATTGAGTCGTATCTTTGGACATTGATGTTGTTACATGAGCTTTTGTATTTTCCAGGTCAGGCGCTTCTAAACTTTCCAACACTCGAAATTCGATGGTGTATATCCTGTATTTTCTGTAGTGTTTGTTGTATTTGAGCTTAGGGACCGAATCCGTCTATATATAAGCTCCCATCAAGCTATGGTTTAAGTTACCAAATTTTTAATCAGTCGTGGAACTAAAACTCCATGAATACTAAATTAATTATTGAAATTGAAAGAATGAATTTTGGATCATCAATCGCCCATTGAAGAAATGGAAAGGAAGAAAAACGTTGTACCTTCTTTATTTATTTATTTTTTTTAAATCTATAGCAATATAAATGTTACGTTGAAACTTAAATAGCACATTATAGAGATGACTCCCATGCATTACGCATTTACATAGACATTCTTTATGTTTGAAAATTATACAAAAGGATTTTGTTAGGGTGTATGTAGTCAAGATGACTCCCATATAAAATCTTTTTTTTTTTTGCTCCTATGAAAATTTCCATTTTTTGCTTTAGGGTGTATTTAGTTGAGATTTTTAAAGATTCTTATTAATTTAAGATTTTGGTTGTATTCAATATAGACTTTTTAAGACTACTAATAGTAAGCACTCACGTTGCACGTCCTATGTATTGAATAAATGATATGCACAATATTTTTGAAAGTATTAATACTATCTTAATTAATAATTTCTCTAAATTTATATGAGATTTATACATTTTTCTGGATTGTCTATGGAGAGAGCAAGAATTTTTATATTTAATATAATTGGCAATTTTGAATCGCACATCTCAACATGGCACATTTTGATTTTCCTCTATTGCTTTGACATTCCTGATGTAGTCCCTCAATTTCGTACATTTAGACAATATTCTTGTTACTAGTTTCAAGGGGAAAACCCCACAAAATCTATAAAAATATAGGATAAATTATGTAGAAAAATGATGATTACGCTTTATATCGTCAATTTTGCAGCCTTCAAGCCTTGATCTACTTAAGCTACACATCATCACTACAAACAACATAATAAATCTTCAAATTCAAAATTCATTTAAGATATTCATGACTAATGATAAAAATCTAAAATATAGAATAAAATTACAAAACATTCAAAGACTTCAGTAAAAAAATGGATTGTTGCTTCGATGTAGCAACATTCTTGTATGATCTATTTGAATATAAATATGCCAAATCAAATTTAGAAAGTAAATTATACACAAATGTAAATATATAACATAAAAATTGTGAAGGTACATAAAATGATACAAATAGGACATTCAAGAAATTCATGGACATTGGTGGCTGGATAATCACAATTCCATCGAAGAAGTTGTGGTTTGCTAATTAGAATATCAATCCTGCACGATCACCCCCTTGCCGCCACTTGCATAACGATAAATGCCACCATCACCTCACCGCACCAGCAACGCCACCACAAACGGATCACACCAGTCCGTCGCAAACTCACCACTACAGTCTACCGCCTGTATCCTACCTACCACGCACCACCATCACCAACGTCGACCACCACCACCGTCAACACCTCCAAATGCACCAACACTGCCAGCAAAACCCCCCAACAACACCAAAACAATCCCAAACCACTACTACTACCTAAAACTCCACACAAGACCAACCCAGACCCCGACCACCACAAACAACATCAACGGTTGATGACGCCACTGTGCGTGACTACGTTAGAGGTGTTGACGTGTACCGTGCAGTGTTTCTCGCGGTGGCGATAGAGAGAAGGAAAGAGGTGGGACGCAATGCTTCTTCACAGATCACGTGCAGTGCCCCCACACACACCTCTGCGTTTGTCTTGCCGGAGAAAAGGCAAATCTACAGCGGTGGCTCTCGTCTCGCCAGACAGATGACGGCGAACTTGGATGAGGGAGAGCAGCGAGTGAAGAGAGCGGAGAGAGAGATTCAGCCAATTAGGTTTTGAAATGGGGAAATGGTATTGCCGTATTGGGATAAAATGGCCTGATTGATTAATTATAATATAATAATAAAAATATTATTAAAATATATAATTATCAACCTGATTTTTGATTAATCAAACTTTGTATATGAATTTTGACGAGCGGTCTTTAAACACCTATCATTTTGTAATTTCCTCAAGAATTAATGGCTAGAAATATGGGCTTCAGTTGTTGGCTTCAGTTTTATTTCAAGTTGGGCCCATACTTCTCTTTTGATTTAAAGTAAACAGGCCCTTTATCCTATAGATAGGTAGATATTTTGAGCTCATCACAATCATCTTCATTTGACAGATTCTTTTGGCCTCCATTTATCCAGCATGGGACGTCTCTTTCAATTGTAGAAAATTAGTGACTTATAGGTTATAGATTCTCATTATGCTATAGTTTTCCAGGTTGTGTACTTCAATTTATGGACAATTTTTCCTTTTAATTCTCGATGGGGCCAAGGCGATTACTTCTTCTTCCAATTATAATGTATACGAATGTGAAATGACTATATACCGGCACTGCGGTCTCAGAAAGATGGTATTAAATTTTAATTTCCATCCCTTCAGCCACACTTGTTGCAAATTTAGAGGTATTCCAACTACTATTTCAAAACTGAATTTGGGACTTTATGGAGGCTATAACCTATTTTAATAATTCCCACACAAAGTCACTTGGGGCTGCGTTTATCAATTTTCAATTTCTATTTACTGCTCTCTATTGATTCCAATATTATGAGGAGCTCATTTCAGGTTGTGGATGGGCTACAAAACTCACTCATGTCAGAGGAATACGATTGGTAAGAGTGCAAGCAAACTGTTCGATGAAATGCTTTGCTCTAAATTAAAGATTCATTGATGTTGGATCATGTAATGGATAGTCATATTATTACTGCTGATTCATCAAGTTTTGTGAAGAAATTTCTCCCAATTATTTATGAGGCAAACATAAAAGAATCTTGCTGGGCCAAATATCAAATCTTGATTGATAAAGGAGATTTCCATCATTCCTCGCACTCTAGCTTTTGAATTTCTTATAAATCGAGGCTAGCTCATGGTTTTCTTATTATTATCAAAGATGAGCCATAGCTCATGGATATCTTATTATCAAAGATAGCATTTTATAAGCCCTCGTTCTTTGAACAAAAAAGAGATAGTATTTTATAAATCCTCATTACTTAAATAAAGGAAGAGGCAGTATGTTGGAGTCCTTGTTCATTGAATAAAGGAAGAAGCAAAGTTTTATAATTCCTTGTTCCTTGAATAAAGGAAGAGGTGGTGCCTTGTGGTCCTTGTTCCTGGAATAAAGGAAGAGGTCGAATCTTGAAACATTTGCCCTTGAAAAATAAGCAACTTTCTAGCTAGTCAGACGTGTTTGACCTTGCAAAAGGAGCATTTTCTGGCTTCACGAGATGCTTATTCCTCACCTTTTACTATCGTCGAGCCTAACCATAAGCCCTGTCTATTTGAGGCTGCTTATAAGGCTTTGATAGTTCGAGAGATATTCGTGGGATGTTTATTTCTCGCCTCGTCGGATGCTTATTCTTAACTTCGCAAGATGTTTATTCCTCGTCTCTTACTATCATTGAACTTAGCTGTAAGACCTCATCTATCCAAGATAGCTTATAAGACTCCGATAATTTGAGAGCTATTTGCGGGATGTCTATTCTTCACTTTGCCTGATGTTTATTCCTAGCTTTGCGAGATGATTATCCCTCGCCCTTCATTATCGTCGAGCTCAGCTATAAGACCTCGTCTTTTTGAGGCCTTCTTATAAGTCTTCGATAGTTTGAGACAAGCCACAAACTTTATATTTATTCATCACTTCACGAGATGCCCTACCATATGAGTTATTGCATTATAGTTGCATTTATCTATAGAAAGCTCATCATGCCTCTACATTACAGCTACCTATCTTTCAAAGTTTTGCTTATGCTTCAACCATGTTATATATACACCTATCATCAGAGAGCTTATATTATTCCTTGCATGGATGAACATTTCACCATACAGGAAGCCCTTGACATGATGTTATCCATCATGCAAGGATGTCATTTACCGCTTTGTAAGGAGAAGGGTGGCCAACCTTATTACCTACAAAGATGAAGTCTTCAATGGCTGGATCAAACACAATGGAAGAAGCCTATGCACAAAAGAGTAAACCCATTGCAAGAAGGTAAAAAATAAAAATGAAAAGAAAATAAAAAATAAAAAGGCCTCGATAAGGACAGTGTGATGCTTATTACGAGGAGCCACGCCTTACTACCTTAGAAGTTAATCCCTTTCATGACTGGACCAAACACCATGAAGGAAGCTCTTGATATGGATGAGCCATCCCTATGTAAATGCGTCAGCTTATCAAAGCTATATACATTCAGAGCATCGCCTCTACATTAGCTTATCACAATGGTTTATATTTCAAGTCCGACCCGCATTTAAGTATTCGACTTGGGGGGCTATTGTGATACTAGCATCTTAGTATCATTACATTATTACTGCTAACATATGCATTATATTATTGATCTCCTAGCATATACATTATATTATTGATGCTAAGTATGCATGTCATATCATTGCAACACATCATGATACTATTTTCATTACAAACAGTACGTATGCCAAATTATCATCATTTTCATTTTATTATCAACATCATGTTACTTACTTCACTATAGCACTATTGATACATTGAGCTGTGCGAGCATATGATGTATTGTGATGTATGACAGACTCTCTTCATATAATATCTTGAAGAAATTTGATATATTATCTTTCACTTTATCGTCATGAGTAATTTGAGGGACAAGTGGACCCCAAATTTATTTGGTATATGTGCAGTGGGTGTATTGTATTGCATTATAGGGTGGTTTAGTTCATATTATAGAGGATATGCTGTTGAAATTTCGACAAATTATATGCGACACCTTTCAAGGAATTCGTAAGCCCTTGCTTATTCAGGCTCACACAAATATTTTTTAAAGCAGTTCATAAGTCCTTATGTATTGGATTAACTCATATTCTCAAGGCAATTCGTAAGTCTTTACCTATTTTAGATCGATGTATATCTTCGAGACAGTTCGTAAGTCTTTGCTTATTGGGCCTCCTCATATTTTTGAGGCAATCTATATTTGACTACTTATATTCTGAAGTCCGACCCGCACATTAATGTACAACTCAGACTTGGGAGACTATTGGTATACCTATAAAATTATCTCATATTGGGCCCTCCCATTGAGTTTGGAACTTGGTCTAGCCCATTGGCTCACGGGTCCATTCCAATTTTCTATATATATATGTGAATTTCATTCATTTCCAGGGTGTGTCGTCTACGTGGAAAGGACGAGGTCAGAATTCTGTTGGAGTGTTTTTTAAGGTCAACACTGATCATCTTAAATTTACATATTGATGATTTATGCCTCCTAGATCTCTTTTACGGGTTGGCACCTTACCTTTGTCCATTAGAGATGGATATGGTTCCATTTGGTTTGATTCCAAGAGAGTAGAATCAAATCGAACCATGAATCATTTTTTTTTTATAATGGAGCCAAGCGATTTTTCTTATACGATGAGAAACCAAATAGGAATTTGGTTTGATTTGATTTGTTTCTAGTTTCATTTCTTAAACTTCCAGACTTACACAATATCTGTAAGTTAGTAATATATACCTAAATAAAAAAAATAAACATCAAACATTTAACAAGTTCAAATTATCAATCATCAAGATTACCAAAGTCCAAACTAACAAAAAAAATATTGTCATAATTTGAATGCATAAATTAATTTCCATTCCTATACAAAAGATTGTCTAATATGTAACAATAATGATTCACTAAATTAATTGCAGTAGTTTTGATGGCACACCTCGAAGTAAGTGATGAATTATGTAAAAACTTTTAAAAGCAATCATTAACGTTTTAATGCTCTATGAATGTTTATTGAGTTTTTCTTTTTCTTTTTTTTTTTGAAAGAAAACAAATAATTCATCAAACAATCAATGTTAAAAAATAGTTCAAAAACTTTTTAAGTGATCGATTAATTCCATTTTTCTTATATCTTGAAAGAGGAGCGTGATGAAATGTGGTGATGTGATCCATAGAACGAATGCAATCAATACAAATCTAGGCAAAGATCCGTTAATTGTCGAAAAAGGGTCAATAACTCAGTTGCGAGCAAAGAGGGTCAAAGAAGCAATGAGATTGATCATTCAAGCTACAATAAATGAAACGTCGATTTTGACAAGCAAAGGAACAAGTTTCATGTTGAGCTCGGGAGCTAAAACTAGTTGGATCAACTTGATACAAGCAACAGACAAAGAGATAGGAAAATTAAGCTACGCGAACGAATAGCTCACTCATGCACGCGGTCACGTGCACCTATGCAAAAGACTAGCTGGGGATTTGACGTGATTTTTCCAATTTTCTGTGAAATCTTTTAATTAAGTTAAAACTTTTCTTTTGGTAACTTTTGTAATCTTTTAAAATTCTTTTTCGTTTAGACTAGGGTTTTATGGTTTTTCTATATATAGGACTCATTATTCTACATTATAAACAACTTTGATGATATATCCAATTGAGACAAAAATTGTTTTCATCGTTGAACTAATTTTCTGAAGTTATCAAGATTTTAATTCCTGTGGCATTCAAACAATTTGGATGAGATTCTCAAATCTTGTGATCAAGAGGTCAATATATTGTCGACAATTTGTTGGTTGCTTTGTTCAATATTTTTGAATCAACCTCAAAACTTTGATTTATTGGCTTTCTTGGGCTGTGATTCAATTTCGTGTGAGTTTCGTAGCTTCAATTGCTATGTGGGTGAGCATCAGTTGGTATCAGAGCTTAGATTCCAAAAATCAGTCTTCTAAAGTTATAAATCTCACTCACATCCTAGTTTGAATTCTTCGAGAATAAGACTTGATTGAGTCCGGATTAGTTCTTTGAAGCACTTGGATGAAATATTGAGTGAAAAAAAGGAAGAATGGTGAGACTAATTAAGGGAAAAAAATCATTTTGAGTGATACACGAGCGTACACATGAGGTAGATATTATTTTAGATTTAAGGTTTCTGACAAGGACGATTCTACCTCAAGCAGAAACAACAATCAAGTCAACATGTCGGAAGAGTTGATATGACGATTTGAAAGGTTGTTTGAAGATGTCAGGGATAGGTTGTATAGGTAGAAGGTGTGGATGGAAATGCAAGATTCATTGCTTGCCAATTTATGTAAGGGAGTTCCCAATGCAAGGAGGCAAGGTAGGCAGGAGCCTAGGATAGAGAATCGTAGTGATTATGACATAGGTGGTAGAATAGATAAGGATTCAATAATGGATGACGAGTTCGGTAAGGGATAAATAAGTTAGATATGAAAAAAGGGATAGAGAACTTATAGGAGATGGAATTGATGAGAGTATGGGCAATATTAAGATGACGATTTCCTCATTCAAAGGAATGAGTGTTTCGAAAGCCTACTTGGAGTTGCGAAAGAAGATTGAATTGATATTTGATTGCCACAACTACTCGGAGAAAAAGAAGGTAAAAATTTTGCGGTACTTGAGTTCATCGATTATGCTATTACTTGATAGGACCAAGTATTGACATCTAGGATGAGGAATTGTGATAGGCCAATTAATACATGGGGAGAATTGGGGACTATCATGAAGAAGAGGTTCATGCCTAGTCAATGCTATCGAGAACTTCATCAAAAACTACAAAGCCTTTGTCAAGGGTCTAAGAGCGTGGATGACTATCATAAGGAGATGGAGATATTAATGGTTAGAGCGTGGGGCTTTGGTCGAGTGAAAGCCTTCTTTCGAAACCAAGTCGTAGTAATGTTGAGGAGGATGGGAGGCCACTATGACTCGATTTTTGAATGGTTTGAATAGGAAAATAGCTAATGTAGTGGAGTTGTAACATTATGTGGAGTTAGATGACATGAACATGTGGCTATGAAGGTGGAGAGGTAATTCAAGAGGAAGGAGACAACTAGTTATCCATCGGGTTCTAATTTTTCTTGAAAATCGAAGTGGGACAGTAACAAGGGAGATGGGATAGTTTCAAAGAGCAAAGCTAAACTACCGATAGGAAAAGAAAAAAGAGCTAGCAATGTCACATCCAAAGTGGAATCCCAGTCGTCTAGGAGTTGAGACATCAAATGCTTTAAGTATTTGGGGCCCAACAAGAGGGAATGGTTTTACGAGACTATGGAGAAGTGGTGAGCGATAGTGAGAAGGACTATGGTGACACGTCGGAGTTGGAAGAGGCTAATGTTGGTAAAAAGGTGGAATATGCAGCGGGTGAGCTTCTAGTTACGAAGCGAGATCTTAGTGCTCAAATCAAAGCGGATGACTTAGAGCAGCAAAGGAAGAACATGTTTCATACACGGTGCTACCTCAACAATAAGGTATGTAACATGATTATTGGTGAGGGTAGTTCTGCTAATATGGTTAGCACTACACTTGTTGAAAAATTGGTATTAACCATACTATAATATCCTAAACCTTACCTGCTACAATGGTTGAATGAATGTGGAGAGGTTAAGGTGAATAGGAGGTATTGGTGAGTTTCTCAGTTGGTAGCTATCATGATGAAGTGATGTGACACGTAGTTCCTATGTTGCCAGGTAAATTTTGTTGGGTAAGCGATGATAATATGGTAGGAAGGTGATGACACATGATGGTTACAAAAATAGGTATAACTTTATCAAGGATGGAAAATCTATTACCCTTGCACCATTAACACCGACATAAGTGTATAAGGATCAAATCAAATTGAAAAATGAGGAAGAGAGAAGATTGAGAGAGATGGAGAGCAAGAGAAAAAATAGTGAGGTGGCTAGTAGTGAGAAAGATGAGTAAAGCCACAAGAGTGAAAAAAAATAGTTTTCTAATAGGAGAGAAATGTTGAAAGTGAA